ATTATTTTTTTTCTAATATTGCAGTGGAAAAGGTTGTTTATTTGTTTTTGAATAGTGTTTATTTATAAACGAATAAATTTTCCGACCAAGATGGATGCAAATCGTTTAATGCATATCGTTATATTCGAACTAACAATTATGGACTTTGACGATTTAAATCCAGAAAAAGGTAAAAATTAAGCGAACTAGTGAGGAAAAAAGCAAGAATGTTAAGAGAAACATAGCCAGGTATCGATATTCACTCGAGTTACTTGGGGAAACTCCGCCTATTTGTAAAAGACCATTGGGGAATTGTGGTGCTTGGCAGGCTAATCATTCACATTTCTATGAGTCGACCGACTATGTTGATTGCTTTCCTATAGATTTCATTGGCCCGACCAATTTTTACAATCATTTATCACGCTTTCCCCATACTCTCTCTCGTTTCAGTGTCATCAACATATTTCTTTAATATAATAAATTTCATATTCGTTAATATAATATTATTAACATAACCACTGATATGATTATGTCAATTATGGCATTTTTATATACATCGTTGATATCACTGGGATTTATTAAGCTGCAAGGCAGTTTATTATGCAAATGAAATTTGCATATGGCATGAAATATGCGTGTTCCTTGAGGTGTGTATGGTTCATGAAGTATGAATATTTCATGAGATGTAACCACGCATATGGCAGTTGATTTTCGAAGTTTATCTTTTAGTTAATGTCATTAGTTTTTCTATGCTTTTATGCGTGAAGCAGTTACGAAAAATGAAATACATGTTTACGTTCATCATGTTTTTTACTTTTCAAGTTATCGTTTATTTTTCTTTGTTAAAGATTATATCTATTTTTATGTTTGTCATACAAATCCTTTCATCCACGTCTTTTTCCATAAATTTTTTTTTCGTTTCCAGTATTAATTTATTAATTTAAGAAATAGCGAAACTTCGCTTAAGTTTCGTTTTCATTAAAAATCGCTTTTTCATTCTAATTTTTGATGAAATATTTGGAGTTTGAAGATTTCCGTGTTTTAGCATTTAAATTTATATGTCTAAGAGATATTATTTTTTTATAATAAACCAGATAAGATATCGTTTTCATTTCGAAAATTTCTTATTAAATATACATAAGATTTGTTTTTGATGCGTTTATAAAAATGCTAACTTTTGACATTTGTAGCTATGTTGTTAATATTTTCGTTTGTGGTAATTTCCCCTAAATAATCCAACCGATCGATTGGTAGTTAATTCGTTATAATATTTAATTGAACAATAAAAAATCATGAAAAAACTTTCAAATGGATAAATTTAATTAGGAGAGGAATTTCGAGCACTTTTTTCTAAAATTCGCCAGGTGTAATTTTAATTCCGAAAAAAAAACTCATCTAGCGCATAAATATTTCAGGTTAATTTTATGAAATCTATTTTCTCCTTCTTACTATTTTCTTTTTACAACTGCCATTAAATAGACGTTCAAGCGCATGGACGATGATACTGCATGTGTAAAAATAACAGAAGCGATTCTATCAAAAGGAATTCACGATGTAACCAGGTATTGTTTTTTAAAATTCATTAGCAATTCTTCCATCTTCGTCATATATCAGTTATATTTGTTATAAGCCGAGAATGTTTTGCATTTCCATTTACGAAATAGTTTTGTCTTTGGGAAGTTAAATAAAGAAGAAAAAACTATGCATATAATATATATATTATATATGAATAGCAATTTCTTTAGTCGATCGAACGTCCAGTTCCAATGCTTAATCTCTACGGAGCGGTTTAATTTCAGTGAATTTGTGAGAGCTATGAGAAATGTCTAATTGTTTTAGAATGATAATTATCATCTAAATAAATTACTATTAAATGAAAGTCCTTTCTTCTAGTTAGCTCAGGCAGTTAATTCTTTAAGCGCACTGATAATATAAAGGAATATATATATATATATATGTCTAAAGGACATATAGTTATTTCGATTCTGCCTGCTTTTTAATAGTACTGAGTTAGTTATTGGAAAAGATTAGGTATTATCATTTTTTGAATTATGTTTGCGTTTTCACTATTCCAAAAGAAAATTTGCATTAAATTTTGGTCATTTGCTTGCTACATATAAAACTGGCTGTTACAGTTAACTGCTACTAAAAAGATAGATTCTTGTTTTACAGATTTCGATTTTTTGAAGTTCATTTTTGATCGAAAAGTCATAGTTTAATGACGTTATAGTTGTCATAAGCCGAGAATGTCTTTCTAACCATTTTATCACTGTTCACTGTAATAAAATCTATTTATCATAGTAAATGTCAGATTTTCCCCAAATTTGTCAAAGAAAAATTGACATTCATATCGGAGAGTGAAGAGCGATAATTTATAAGTGTGATAATAAAGATTGGATGAAAAGTAAAAATCTGACATTTACTATGATAAATATTATCAAAATTTAATTTTATCTTCAACATTTAAAATTTTATCTTCAAAATTTTTTCATTTTTTCTACGGTTATGATACAACTTATGATGACTGATTGTTGTTTCAAATAAGAATTTTCAGATTATTCGATTCATAAATTTCGTTACTTATTATTCTTACTTTGTGCTTTTTCCTCCAGTTAATCATTAATTTAATTTTCGATGAAATGCTCTTTTATTTTCGTTCTTATTTTGAGCGTTTTTTTTTGAAAAAGACAATCAATTTATGGTACGATTGTCATAAAATGAGTTTCAATTTGGCAAATTTATAATTATATGACGAGAATGACCATCTCTTATACATTTCTGCTTTGATTGACTTTTGATTGTTACAATGAAATATTTTCGTTAAAAATCCGAGGTATAAGAAGGAGATAGTTAGCCAGCACTTTCCACATACGGAGGAGCTTATAGTAAGTCACGGTTTTTTGCTCAATATCCGCCAACTATGCTAGGAAAAATTTAAAGCCCCTTTGAAAGGTTGTACCTGGTAATTTGATTTTTATGTAAAATAATTTTGCTTCCATCGCATCCAATTTATATGTAAGTTCTCTCGATGATTATTATATGCAGCTTTAAAATCAAATTTTATCTGATTTAGGAAAAAAATAGAATGTTTTGCCGATTAAAATCATAAATTGTGATGGCATGAATTGGGAAATGAAAATTTTTGTATGCATCTTTGTCCATGTGATTCGATTCAATAATCCATAAAAATAATGTACAATATAAATCAAAAACGATAGAAAAATAGCGTTTGAAAAGGGTTTAAAATAGCAGTATTTCGAATTTTAAGGTAAATAATAATTGGGAAATTCAATGAACTTTTTTTTTTAAGATTTTCAACTTTTTTTCGCAAATGGTATGCAAACGATTCATCTGTACTGATATTGGAAGGAGCTTCGCAAGTAATAAGGAATAATTTTAAGAAATGTTTCACATTTTTGTTTATCATTAATGAATCTGATAAAAAGTCAAAGTTGATTAAGTAAACAAAAGTCTTGGGAATTTTACTACTCTTAATCCTTCAATATTTAGCTATATTTGTTTTTCTGTAGGTTGGAAATCTTTTTCCATCTGATAAAGAGAGAAAATTGTCCATTAATTTTTTACGATTGCAAGAATCGCAGCATTATAATATTAATATTATATCATGAGCTGTCGTTCTAGGCAAAATGAAAAATGTTGGCTTGATGCAATTCTGGGAAATCATCGTTCCCTGCCAAGAAATGCAATATTTAACTTAAGGCAGTTCTGAGAAAACCTTTAACCATACCATGAAATATTTGCCTTTGTTTAGTCCCAGTTTATTCATACTATGAAACAAGGAATTTTTTAAACTTATTTTGATTTAGAACAGCCATCATTAAATTTTTCTAAAATTTCCAAAATTCTCTTTTCCTAATGAATTTTAGTGTTTGGCCAATTACTAATTTGTTTTAAAGAATCTACTCGTGACGATGAAAATATCCATTTTTAATTTTTTTTTTTTTTTTGAAATTAATTGTTAACGGTGTGAATTTACGATTCAGTAGTAATCACCTGCTTTATATCAAAGAGGAAATAAATTAATTTATGTGCAAATATACGCAATGCAGATTATAAATGATATGAGAATACTATTGAAAATATTCATAATATTTATTAATTGCTTAATATAATGAATTATCAATTAAACTATTGAGTTATCCGCATTCAGTTCTCCCTTAAGCTCGTCTGAAAAGCTCATATATGACGGTTTACATTTGCAAAATCAATCAACCGTTTATCGCAAACCGACAATAATTCTTTTCGATTAAATGTTTTTGGCTAGTTCTCGGAACTCAGTGCTATTGTCATTATTGTCAGTTAATATTGTCGAGGTCTTCATCAATTGCTCGGTTGTTATTCAGCTTTCACTGAAAAACAACTTCCATTTTTTGCGTGAGAAGCGTATAAAAAACCTTTACGCTAGATTATTTATTTATTTTACTCACAATTTTTTCGAAAGTTTTTCAAGTTTTTTTTTTCATTGTGTTATGGCAATTTCGCTCAATTTTATATTGCTAATTGGCCAGAAACCTCGCTTATGCAAAATTTTCTGTTCATTATTATCGATGCTGTGATATTACTTCACCTTTTAATGAATTGCGCATTAAAGTATCTAAAAGATTAAAATGGTCCGAAAAAGAAACATCATCGGTGAACTAATATTTTGATTGATAAATAAACATGACTTTTTTAATACATTTTTGGAAAAATCGGCATATTTATCAAACTGTAGGCATTTCTATATTCAATAGAAACCATGCTCGTGAAAATTTAGCTTAGCTTAACACCAGCTGGCAATATCAATGCTCTACTATAATGGCAAAATCTTATTCCACAAATTAGCAAATCCATGATCCAAACTCTTTCTTAGAATAGAATATATGATTTTGGAAGTTAAGAATTTATTTTGATAATGAAGCCAAGAATTTATTTGTAAATTATGTTGCTTAACTTGGATCTGCATAAAAAATAGTTATTTCCACATTAGCAATACCGAACTAAATTTTTAACTTTGTAGAATGATAAAGAAATCCTTCCAGCATGGTTTTGCTGAAAAATGGTTGAAAGATATCAAAAAAATAGTGTATCTGTGTCTGATAGACAATGACAGATTCATTTCAAGGCATAATCATCGTCCATAACAATAGTTTTTATAAATACAGCAATAGTGTTTCAGTTGGATATCGGTACAAATCACATTTTCATTAGTTTATGGAGCTTTGCTATTAGTGGGATTGATCGGTAATGGTGGAGTATTGCTAGCTGTTTCAACAAATCGAAGGCTTCGATCGGCTCGAAATATATTCTTGCTTAATTTGATTCTAACCGATATACTACTCTGTGTAACAGCAATACCTGTTACCCCTTGGTATGCGTTAACTAAGGATTGGCAATTCGGGCCACTAATGTGTCGACTCATGCCACTTTCTAATTCATGTTCAGTGTTTGTGACCAGGTAAATAATTTCCTTTGTTCTTTTCTTGTTCTTCATCGAGTTGCATAGCCAAAATCATCATTAATCGCCTAGATTTTTTCGATTTATATTCTCAATTTTAAATAAATAATTTTTTCTGATATAAATTGAATTCTTAAGTTTTTTTTTGCTATTTGCATAGCAAAAAGCGCGCTTTTATTTCCTTAATTTTTCGTATTCCACAAAATTACTGCTTCTTTGCCCATTATTCATGAAAAGCGAATCTTATCGTCAAACCAATTTTTTGGTTGTCTGAAAGTTAATTTAAAAAAATTTTATTGGACTTCAGAGGAAACTATTTTTGCCCATTTTAAGGATTTTTCGCCAAAGACGATTGAAAAAAAAGTTCATATATAAATTAAAGTTCACTTTCCTTGAATATTAAGCACAATGGAGCACATTTCTGACAGTTTCTTTTGCTTTCATAAAATATAAATTGAGAGTTTCGAGATAAAAAAGAATTTTTAATAAACTCATTGAAATGCAGTAAAACATTTTATAAATCCCGCTTGAAATTTAAAAAATTCGAAAAAAAATCAGTAATTGTCTATAATCAAACGCTATTTTTTTATTTTTTATTTCTTCTTTTTAAATAATAATGTTTTGCTCTTCAAAAAAACTATTTCTAAAAAACTATTTCAGCATAAAATTCAAATAAAATTCTTGATGAATTAATTTTAGTTGGAGTTTAACGGTGATCGCTTTGGACAAATTCATTCACATTATGGATCCAACACGGGCTCCGATAAGTATAAAGCGAGCAGTGCTGATAACTTTAATTATTTGGCTTGTTTGTTCGTTAATCAATGTGCCATATCTTATGAGCTATGAGCTCGTTGATGGAGCCTATTATGTACCTAAAAATGCTACTCCATTTTGTGGACAATTTTGCGATGAAATCAATTGGCAAGGTGAAACACCACGTCGTCTTTATGGTTCTGCTGTTGTTCTATTACAGGTAGCATCCTATTTTATTCATTCAAAATTGATTGATTTTTTAGTCGCTAATACAATTTTCTTGCAAATTCTGTACAAAAAAAATTAGTATAAAATTGGTGAAAAAAATATATAAAATTTGAAACCACTGGTTATCGTTAAATTCGTAATTCGCAAGGAAACTGTTTATCATTTATTATTTAACTTTTGTTAAATACACAAAGTACTCATATCACCTTAGGGAAAGGAAATTTGATTAATTCTGGAGTATGTTTTTATTTTCATCCTCATTTTGCCTCATCTAATATGCATAATGTGCAATCAGAAAGCTGGATTAGTGGAAATTTATTTAATCCATCTAGAAATGCATCATCAAAATAAAATACTTTGACATAGGGCTAGTTAATATGCCAGAAAAAAACCAATAAGTTGAAATGCGCCATAATATGGACGATTTAATAGAAAAGCGTTTATTGATTTAAAAAATACGTATTATGAAATCGACGATAAAGATGGAAAAAATTGGAAAAGTTCGGAAAAGAAAATGTCATTATGGAAACGAGGAAAAATTTAAATTTTCCATACGTCTTTTACTGTTTCTTCCAGAAGAAATGAAATATGAAAATGAGGATGTACTTTTCCATTTGAAATTTTGTGTTTGCTTGTCAAAATCACTTTTTTAGTCAAAAAGTTCAAATTTTTACAATTTTTTTAATCAATGCAGATACAAAATTTAAAAAACGCAAATTCAAATTCATTTAAAATTTTTTATTACTTAGATTTATAGATTTATTATAATTTATAATGGAAATTCTGAAAAAAGCCAAATTTATATGAAATAAAACGCGAGCATACGACACAAAACAATTAGAAAACAATTCCAAAAATTAAAGCTGAGAAAGAATTGAAAAAAATTTTGAGCCAAAAAAACAAAAAAATTTTTGATAAAATAGGATAACAAACAAGCAAGAAATAAGTGGAAACCATCGGATATAAAATTAAATTAGATCAAATTTATGCATAAGTTCTGGACGCAATAAACTAAACTTGAGATGATTATGAATCAATCGATTTGTTGTGCCGGAGGGTCTTCCAGAGACAAATTTTATAAATATTTTTAAAGACATAAAACTCAAAATATTGAGATTTTTATGTTAGCGCTTACCAATTACGACAGTTTTACCAGAGACTCATTTAAGGGATGGAAGAAGAGATTAAGTAAATATCACCAAAGCTCACATTTTTTAATAATAGATTTATTGGCGTATACTAGGTAAGTGAAACTCTTATCGTATATCTCTTGGCTGGCAAAACACATCAGGAACAGATCAGGCCGAATTCAAATTCGAATTTATGTTCAGAAGTTCTTTTTCCATAAACATATGTTTATGGAAATTCAAATTAAAAAATTTTAGCTACGATTGTTTTATAACGATTACTCAATTACTTATGATAATTTGCTTTGCGAAAATTTCATGGGAAAAATCCATGCATAATTTTAAATTAAAAAATCAAAAATAAGCGGGGGATTGAATTTTTTCATCTCATTTTTTCATTTATTAAAATCTTTAAGAAATAATTAATTTATGATTTTTATCATTATTAACAGATCAGAAGCTTGGATATTTCATCTTAATTTATTACTTTGCTTAATTTTTATATTAAGTGCAATCTCTTTAGTATATGTTGATAGTTTTGCATAAATTTTTTTCAACTCTTGATAAAGAGTGCCAATTTGCAGTTTGTTGTTCCGCTGGCTGTTATTACATATTGTTATAGCAGAATTTTGGCCAAAGTTGCTAAAGATATGATAATTCAAAATGCTCAGTTCAGTAAAAGTCTTACGAGTACTCAACGAATAGATGCGGTGAATCGCAAGAAAAAGGTTGTTGCTTTTTTTGTGAAATGTACTTGCTTTTCGTTAGCAAAGATTTCTGGTAAAATATTTTAAAACAATCGCTAATGATGCTTTGACTTTATGGTTCAATACGGACCCAACTAAAGTTATTGTATAATATTATACTAATTGTTTGACTGTAAGTGCATTTGTTATCTTTGTTTTCAAATTTGATCTCTTGAAATCATCTATGCTGATAAGTTTTATCCTGAGAGCCATTGAGAAAACAAAGGTTTTTCAAAATTTTTATCTTCAGTTCAGGCATGCTTTTTTAAATAAACGCGCTAAAATCTGTAAGTAAACTGGTCAACGATCACCGTTTCTGGTTAGGTTCGTCTTCATGCGGTCCCCAAGTACCATTCGAGTTTTTCAATGACAGGTCAGAACCTTGATGCTAAGGAATGAGTTGAAATCACTTAGTTATCTTATTTCTAAACAGATAAATATCGATCGCTTTCATTTAGAATTATGCAATAAAATAATTATGGTCCGATGAGTTATTTGCTAGTAAGGAATTATCAAAACGCTTCTCTGATTAGATTGATAGAAATGAGATGAGTTAGCACCAGACGTGCACCAGAAATCTTTATTTTATGATCAATTACATATAATGTTTGTTCAGGAAAATCGTTGTTTACATGGCCTGTCAGTTTATTTTGATTTCATTGCCACAACGCTTTAATTGACTGACTTGATTGTCTGCTTGATTGTTTAAAATGTCTGACATATTCAAAATTAATAAAAAAATATCTGAATTAACCAATTTTATCATTAGCACTGTGCCAATAATTTAATATTTCAGTGAAAGTCCATTTCTTTTAATTTATCCGTTTATTTTTCGATTAATTTATTATCAAATCAACTGAAAATCTAAAGACATTCATTTTTTAATGTTGAGGATGAAATTTGATTTTAAACAAGCAGCTTAGGTTGCATTTCTGCTTTTTGGGAACAAATCACATCTTTATTCGTCTGTAGTGGCCGTATGGTATGCAAGTTTTACTGCAAAGAGCCAAATTAGAAATGATGAGCATGAGTCAGAAGAAGGAACGAATAATTAGGAAGAATCCTAAATAATCATCATTAATGCCATTAAGAATATATTTTAGGATGTTCGATTAGCATTTATATATTTTAGTTGAGAATTTAGAGTTCTTAACATAGAAAAAAAACTGAGAACATCTAATTTTTTGAACAGTTTCTCCCATTTTTCTCAGACCACTTACTGCTTTCTTCAACGTCTGTCTTTCTTTTCATCATCCATCATTCTTAGGAAGTTTAAGCACCAATCTTATTGAAAGTATAAAATTTATTTAAACATATACTTGAAAAAATAAATACATTTGTTCCTACCTGGCATAAATAAATTTTTTTAGCTGCGTATGAGTATTTGAATTAAATGTGTGTTAACTATTAAATAACACTATACAGCAGCAATTAACTCGTTAAAATCATATATCAGTGCACTAAACTCAGTAATACGAAAATTTTCTTTTTCTAAACAACTCACACCAGGCTGAGTTCACTGGCGATTATAGTCAAACGTTTTTAAACCAAATACATACCATTCCATGCGTATATTTTACAGATGGATTAAAGGTCTGCTGCGACTTCAAACTCTTTAAGTACAAGTAGGCTTCAAAGCTTTGAGAGCATTCATGCTTAATTCGAAAAAATATTCATTAAGAATGTAGTTTTCACATTTTTATACTTTAAATAATTTATTTTTTGAATGTTTCACCTTTTTATTTCAAGCATATGTTTATCAATTGTGGCTAGAAAGTTTGGGAAGAAAAAGTTTCGCCAATTCAGGTAATCAAAATGATTAGAGGATAATATGGTTGAATGCTTTATTGCATTGAACAAGGTCATACTAAAAAAAGACTTGAGTAAAAGCGAAACTTGGATGTTTAAGGGCAATCACCTCCATTTGTATCTTCAAATGATTCCAACCACAAAACTGGAAAAACTGGAAATTAATTGCCTTATCTTGCTTCATCTATTAAAATGATGAGATGATGAAAGATATCGTTATTTTGATATGCCATGAAGAGCAGTTTCATGCGAACAGCTCATGTGAATAGCCTTGCTATTCAAATAAAATCCCTGTATTTTGCCATTTAAATAAATAAAAACATTCTCTCATACAAATTCAACAGTTTATTGATAGCATTTCGAATATTTATAATCTAGAAATGATTTCATATTATTTTTACCTTTCTTTTGCCTTAGAAACAATGAAGTTAATGGTTTTATAATTTAAAACTATCATAAAACTGCACTTATTGCTCTTTCATTTTTAGGAATTTCTTATAACAAATTCTTCATCAGTTAGACCGTTAAAGGATCAGATATGTTGCTTTGACCAAAGTCAAATACTACGGGTTCGATTCACTTTGCTCGACTGGAATAAATCACTCATTAAAAGTGAAGTCTATAATGTTAAAGCCTTCATTTTTATTCAAGGGGATTCTTTAGTGAAGAGTTCTTCTTATCCTTATAGCCAGTTGAAAAAATCAAATCAGAAATGGTGATTTTTAGCAGTGGTTCATTCAAATTTTAGAAGAAGAGGATTGTAATAGAATAATTTCGACGAAACTTCATTCAAATTTGAAAATATTATTCAGCGGCTCTTTTTTCATTAAATACAAATATAAATTTTAAAGCAATTTGCATTTGTAATTTTTTATACAAATTATTCATGCACAATAAACTGCGATAAGTAAAGTTTGTCTACCGTTTCGACATATAACACCAGCTTCAGAGATCCTGGAAAGGGTATTTTAATTTATTGTACGGAATATGAAAATGAATAGTCAATATTTGGTTAGTTTTATGCATTTTGAGAAAAATTAATATTAAATGATGAACTCGAGGTTTTACAAATAGAAAAAGTTAGAATTGTTTATAAATTTTTGTGTGAAATCCTTTTTTTTACTGCACTTCAGCTTCTTTGATAATATTCCGTCCTCAATTCCTTCTTATTTATATAGCGAATTATATTATTTTTGCACCTCCAAATAAAGACATATTAAGTACTAAAGAATTAAAGAAATTATCTCTTAGGAATATCTCGTATATCAAACAGAAAGGCAGATAAGTCTCATTTGGAGATATTTTCATCAATCTTATTTAACGAAAATCACCAAAGAATCTTAAGTCTAGCAACTGTAACACATTTTAAAAGAAGTTGTATCTTTTCCAGATTAATGCTTTAATATTTAAACGAAATCGGTACTTACTGTGTGAGAATATCTAGATTAATACAATAATTTTCTTGTCTTTTAGTGCATTCACATATAAAGATTTCTATAGAAATAAGACACCATTTTCTGAAAAATTAATTTTTCGTAGAATCTGTACGATCATTTGTTGTAAATGTGGTCAGCACTCACTCACCATTTTTGGTTAAGTTCGCACCATTAACTGTTGGAAAGTTAGAACTATTTGCAAAGGAGCCACTTGGCAAATATAGTATGGGCAGATCAGCATCATTCGTGTTTTTAATGACGATATTTACTCCTCTCTGATGCAAAGCAGAATGCAGGAGTCAGACAAACGAAGAACAATCATTTTGAAAGGTTTTAGTAAAACTTGCCGTACTTATATGATTTATTTTCATTGTTACTTAAATAAAACCTGAAAAAATTTTCAAGATTTTTTGGACTTTTATGAAGCAATTCAATGAGTTTTGACCATAGTATTTTCCTTATTATCTGCTAAATAAGAAAAATGGAGTTCTCTTTAATATTAAATATTATTAAATGATCTCTGCTTCAGTTAAAAGATCCCTAATTAAAAAAAGTGTTCTCGAGCGACAGTCGATGTGGCAAATTCGAAGTTTAATATTTAATGCATCGTAGCTGTTCGAAAATAACAGTATTAATTAATGATAGACAAAGGCATAAATGCTATTGGAAAAAAGAATTACACTGATTAAATTACGAGCCATTGGAATTCAATAAATTTTGCGGCAATTAAAATAAGAAAAATGGAATTATTTTGATCTAAATCGTTTCAAATACCTAGGAAACTTATAATTCCATCATTGCTTTTGCATCACTAAACGGAATAATGAGTAGTTTTCTTTGCAATTAATGGCCTTGAAATATGTTTTGTTGCGTCATCAAATTTGAAATCGAGAGACGTATCGTAAACTTCATATAAGCCGAGCTGGCTTGATTTCTACTCCTTGATAATAATTGACAAATTGTTAAAAATCGGAGAAGGAATACATATGTACTTATATCTCCAAGAGATTCTCTCGCTAAAGGGACTCATCCTAATAGCTAATGGAACTAGAAATAGTGAGTTGGAAGCGAATGAAAAGAAGCAAGATGTCGTCATTGTTCGGCTGAGGAGCCGCACAACGTAGGAGTGAGCATAATTATTACACCACACGTAGATCCAAGTTGATTCTCCAAACGTAATGGATAGGAAGTTGGTCCATACAACAGTTGTTACCTGATTGATGATTGTTGTTTCGTACAATAAAATTTAAGAAGTAGAAGTCTAAAAAAAAGCTTAAGATTATTTTTGAATTCTGACAAGCGGAATATAACTGAGAAATTCGATGATGGATTAATTTTTCAAAAATTTGTCATTTTATCGATCATAAACTCTTCTAAACGGAATGTTTTTTAATGTTCAAGAAATAATCGCAGGAAGAAAACTTATAAAAAAAAATAACTGGCCAAGGGTACAAAATACTGAGAAATTTATTCTTATTTCACAGGTCTTTAGAACGATTTTATGTTTCCTACAATACTTTTATTAGAAGGTAATGATAATGAGCGATATTTTAAAAACAAGCGTTGACCTACATGCAATAGTCTAAGCATCTTAAACCTAACGAAGGTTCAGTTGAAAAAATTAAAAATCCAAAACATCCAAGAAAATTCCACGATACATTTGTAATTGAGAAATTGATGAATGAGAAGAATAAATATGCTGCAGAAAATCTTTAAGAATCTCATCCTTGTCAATTACTGCACACTACAATTAACAGACTTTTCATCCTTTATCTCACTTTTTTAATAGAATTCTATCATTAA